ATTATTTAAGTACTGATAATCAGGTTTTCCAGGAAATCAGATTACTAGGCCTCTGGATGCCGTTGGATTTGTTTAGCCTTGTCTTCCAAAGTCAAGCTCAACTCTGGCTCACCTTTTTACATCCGCCCCCACAATAGCATTGGATACTGGGTTGTGAGTATCTTGTCGACGTTAACACTCCGGTCTCGATAACTTCCTACTTGTCATCAATTGAAATGGTGAAAATATGCTTGCTTTATCGGCAATTCCATTATGCAAATGTGATTTGGAAGAGGTTTGACTGACTTGTATGCCAACAACATACTAGGTTGTGTAGTGGAGTGGTTATGTCGCTACGGGACAGACGAATCGGTATCAAATCCCGTCGATGTGCTGATAAAGCCTGGACGAGGTCAAAATTGCCTTCCAGTCCAGCCTAAATGAGATGAGTGGAGGTCATGTGAAATTCAGTGGCATCATGAGTACTCCCCATACGATTGTGGGAAGAACCAAATATCTGTCCTTAAATCACCATAAGCGACATAGGCTGATGAAATGCTTACACAGACACATGTTTAATGGGGGAAATTATCCACAACCTTTTATTCCGGTCAGCAATTTGCTATTTCCATCCAATAGGAGGCGAATGGAGTAGACTGTACTCTCCTATTTATTAACATATTTGCTCCATATTGGACTGGTACCAAACTCTTTGCTAGAGCATGGGAAAGAGCTCCTTACTTGTTGCGTCGGATAGGTGAATTCCTAGTAATAAATGAAAGAAGATATCATCAATACTGAACTTTCGGCAAATCACCTGTATCAACCTGGCAAAGAACAAAAGTAGACTTTTTTGCGAATTCTAGATTTGCATAGTTCAAAGTGAATAATTCACTGATGTATTAAAAAAGATTACGACTTGGCGTGAGGCTAAAATATTCTCTTTTTCTCCTTCACAATTGTGCACATGCAAAAGCCACGGAAATAGGCGTATTGGCTCCCAAGTTAAAATGCATTGAATTCTCTGACGAGATGAGAGGTGTAAAGATGTGGAAGGGAAACTTATTTTGCCAAGTTAAATGTGAAGACTAGAAATGAGATGAATATGCAGGAACAATAAAGCGTAGAACCGTGATGACGAACCAAATTGTAAATAAGGCAAGTCGTAATGCATGCCTGATGTTGTAACCGGGTCTACAACAAGTAGAAGTCTTGGCCATCCCCTTTAAATGTAGTAAAAATTGGGGGCAATTGTAGGTTGTTGGGACGTGAGACGTGGGACGTGGGGTGTGGGGTGTGGGGCCTCAAGTTAACAATAACATGAACGGGTTTTCCATAGGAGAAGCAGTGTATGACAGTCATAATTTATGTTAATATACTCATCAGATCAAAAGACCACATACTCGTAATTCTAAACAAACTGTCTGCCAGATTAGCCGGCTAACAAGCCATCCTGTCGTCACTCCTTCTTGATCTACTGCCCTCTGTACACTTCAGGTGTATGAAAGAGGATGGAAGGGTACAGCCGGAGTGAGAGGGTACATCTGTTTCGAAATGAAGCGACACAAGCCCTCTTGAAAATCCCATTTACATAACACCAACAGCTTCCGACACGCTAACATGCCATCCCGCTTCGTCCTCTCGCAGGGCCACACCCACACGGACCAGGGCGGCTGCAGCGTGTGAATGAGGGAGTGTGAACTTGTCGGCCCTGTTGTCTTGTTGCCAAATGAATCTGGGGCCCACTGCCGCCCACTTTGCCGGATGCCAGGACCAGAGACCAAAAGGCGTCTGTTGCAAGCAGACCAATCTGGTCAACATGTAATCTCCACTTAGTGCTGTTGCAAAATTCCCAAAGCCTAACAAGTGACGCATCTCGGGAATCTGGCAATATATGCCCTCTTGATTGTGACTATGGGCATGCCTAAGTGTGTTTGCGTGTGTGTGTGTGTGTGTGGACAGCATAAAGCAATCCACCCTTTCTGTTGTATGTAATCGGTGTAGGCCCATGTCTCCTCTAAACACTAAAGTTTACACTTGGGCTGAATAGCAGTTCCCGCACATAAGGGTGGCGTAATAGATCATACCCAATTGGTTGATAGTCTAAACACTTCTCTTTCAGCTCTGATGACCCCGGAGACGATGTACACACACAGGTACATACACATGTAGACACGGCAACAACTGAACCGATATATGCACAAGCTTGGACTAACCAATTGTTTGTGCACATGCTGGTGTTGTGGGCGGTGGCAAAGAGACTGTCCTCTTGCAGACTCTTGAGCCGACGCGGTCGGCGGTCGGCAGTATTTCAGGGATTGTGGTAGGAAATCAGGGACAACTGAGTAGCCACGATAGTGGCGGCACAAATCGGGGGTAGGATAAGGGCCCGACTCTGTTAGTAATTTAACATTGTCCAATTCACCGCCAGGGCAGAGGTCGCTTCTGTCACGGGGTGGAGCGAAACAGACGTCCTGACCCATTTTGTCTCCGGTTGGCCCCCGGCTACTTCTTTCTGAGACGAGGAGGACGACTGGTCGGGACCGGCACGAGGCGGAGGGGCAGTGAGGCTCTTCCATGCACCCCGAAAGCAGATCCCCCTCCGGCCCAGGCTCGAGTCCCGATCCTGTCTATGCCTAATCGTCAGCCCCAGCAGGAGTCGAGCCCTATTGGAACAGCATGAAGGGAAGTTGGGTTTCGAAGAATTCCTTAGTAGATTGATACTGACATGCATTTCATTTCGTTTGAGAAGGCGGGAGGAAGGGATTCGTAAATTGACTGCACCGGATACCGAACAAGGGTTGCCTTAAGCTTTTCTCTTTTCAATAGTGTGGAGAAGACCTCGGATTGCCGTTCTAGGATCCCGATGAATACCTGCTGAGCTCACCAAAAAACACTAAATCAAGATTGTTGGTAAATAACGGTTTCTGGCTCTGACAATGTCCGTCACATGACGCTGAGCCGAGGTCTTCTTGCCACAATTCAGCAGACAAAAGTCCAAGGTAAACGCTTTCGGTATCTGGTGCGGCCTTATCAGACGAAATGAAAGGTATGTCAGTATCAACACGATATGCAATTCGCATTCCCTAGCCCTGTTGAGATACAGATCGAGCCTGAGTCCAGGCATGTCATATAGTAGGCACCCATGCTCGTCATCATACCCGATTCTGCTCCAAGTTAAGCCAGCTTTGACTGATTTTGTTGAATAACTGTTATTCTCCTTCTGTTTTGTGGGATCTTGTTAGTCTGCCATTGCCACTGCCCCGCAAAACATGTCTATAAATGGTCTGGTCTCGTTTTCCCAGAGAACTCTGTCCTCCTTCTCTAAGTCGGTATCGCCAATAGGCAACGCAAGCCTTGGCACCGAGACTTATCGCGCTGACGACTTATGACGCAATGCCAATGCGGACGACTGCAGACATTCAGTGATTGAATTCTACAAGTAGTCATTACAACAATGGCAAAGCATATGGCACTGTCTGCATGCCTCGAGGTCTTCGTGCGTCACATGAGGGACGAAAGCTCAATAAGGATTCATCAGGGTCGCATGGCGGAGCGCACAAATCTACAATCACAGCTCCAAGGCAACCCCCCCTCACAGCCTCCGGAGAGGCGTCTTCAAACGAAATGAAAGGTACTCCAACATCAATCTATTAAGGGATTCTTCGAAACCCAGTTTTTCTACATTACATTGATTGAAACCAAATCCGGACGACTGTGATTCGTCCCGCTTGCGAGACTCCACCGAGACACTTTAAACAGCACCTCTAGAATACATTGACTTTTACCGATGCTCCGTTTCCATCCGAAATATTTAGTGGGTAGTGAAAACCGCTTGCTTCAGTTTGTCATGATAAAAGTAGGAAAAATGTCTTGTGAGAAGCACCTGAGGATCCGACTCTCAGACTCATAGCATATAAGGCCGGCTGAGTGAGGAACGATGCCCATTATTTGCTATGCTAATTTGTGTATGTGTGTGTGTGTGTTTGAAATGATAGTGTCCGCTTCCAGATTGTCATGCAAACGCAGTTTTGGTTGAATTAGCTCAATTTAGTACCTAATCACTTCACTCAATTTTCTAAAACAGGGAGGATAACTCGACAAGAGAAATTTGAACTCGTCATCAAACCTCCAGCTGAAATATTTAATGATGAAACTACTCGGTGGTCTACTCGTTTTTCCATTCATTCTATACCTTTTTGCACGCCTGGAAGCTTCTGCTTGACATGTGCTGAATCAAAGATGACACAATCAAGATTTGTGATACATGAGCAACTTTAGCTCCTCCGAGAAATCGAATTTTACGGCACACAGTACTTGAATGCGATGGGTCGGCAGCATCTGAGCTCATGCCTCGTTGCATCATCTGTAAGAACGTGAGAAGACTGAATATGTAAATCTGCATGTTCATTACTCATACTTGGCTTGAAATACAACAAATAATGACGAATTAAGTGTTCTTGATTCGTTTTAGGCTCAAACTTGTTGAAAGAATGAGTTCCAGATTTGATGACGAAGGTAACTCGAGCACTACATTAGCCCGAAGGTTCCGACACAATCAAGCCTCGGCCAGCCAAGAGGCCTCCACCATCTAATTTTGGTTACCCCGAGCTATGAAGCTTCATCGGACAGTTTCACACAAAGTGGAGGTCAGCTGAACAATAAAGCATCGACTCATACTAGGGAGGAGGGGAACATGAGACAGGAAGCCCCCTACATGTAAGTCGATCCACGGACAAATAAAATTGGCGCTTATGCTCTTCGTTTGCGCAAACCAGCATATTCTGGGTTCATGTTCAATTTCACACACGCCATTTTAAAAGTAGATGTGCGTCCATCATAGGGATTTGGGATAGAGTTTATACTCTGTGAAAGGTGGCCAACTTTAAGGCATACACAGTATACAGTACGCCATGGCCACAAAGTGTCCCCAGGCTTTAGCGTCATTTTCCCTTTAGTCGTGTTTGTGCAAAGCTTAATGGAAGAGAGTTGCGCAACAATCGAGGGGGCAGACTGAGTAAACTGGCTTTATGCTCTGAACTGGAGGCTTCGGACACATAAAGTGGGGCATAAAACTTGAGCCAATAGGATCGGGTCCGCTCGGGAGTACAGATGGCTGTGTCCTATTTCCCTGTTAATAAGGGAAGTTGGCTGCTCATCCACAGTCTCAACGTAACTTGGCAGACCGACATGTTGATTGCAGACACGTACGAAAGAACATCCCGTCCATGGCAAGGAGGGAGTTTCCCATTCCGACACAAGGGATCGAAAGCGGATAAACATTTCTTCTCTCTTGCGTATGTGATTGTATGCGAGCTAGTGTGTGAGAAGGGGAAGCTAGTGTTTCACTCGACCAACAATACTTGTAAGAAAACAAGTTGGTAAATATTCCCAGTGTCCAGACACCAATTGCCCCATTGAGAGCTGGCGGCTTGGCTTATGTAAACTCACTTCGGTAAACTAACTTTATAGCGACTCATTTTTTCAGGGAAGTCTCAAGAGCACATTAAAAAGGGGATCTTTGATATTAGATATGCTCCTATCCCGACGCCAATCACAATAGGCAACTGAACGGATTAGCCTGTGAAGAGGTCAACTTCTTCAATACAGTTAGCAAGTAGACTTAGACAGTTTCGTACTCAGAGTAGCATTCTAAAAGAATGGGGAATGGGAGGATCACGTACTGGATTAAACTCTGATATCAAGCCTTCGAGGTGATACCTCCATTTCTCGAGCTCATTCAATGACAGACGAGATGAGATGAGATGAGATGAGATGAGATGAGATGAGATGAGATGAGATGAGATGAGATGAGAT